ATGGACAGGGACAGCAGTTAATCAGTATCGATGTTAGACGGAAGCTCGGAGGCGGAGTAACGCAATGAGTGCTGCATCATCGTCCACATGAAGCCTTGCCGACACGATGGGTAACCTCAGCCGCGCCATGTCTGATGTGTCCTCATCTCTCTTGGAGCAGTGCAACAGCATCAACGTCGACTACAGCAGGCTGATCGTGCCAACCACCACCGTGGCCATGTTCATCGGCCGATTCCTGGTGTCTACCACCGTGTCCCTCAGATGACTCAACATAGAGACCCACGCCGACATGCTCGACCGCCGCTTCATTGATGAGAAGATAGGAGCTAGTAAAGGACAGGTTCTCTAAGCTCCTCCTCGGCGAGGACATGTTCGGCGGTACCAAGGGCGTTTGCGCTATCGTGACCATCAGCGAGCGCCGTGTCAATCGGCTTCTTTATAGGTGTTATTGAAAACATTCTGTCGGTAGGCTGATTTAAGCAGCACGGGAATCAAAGAAAAGTTTATACAGAGGCAATTGTCAAGTAATCAGCTCGGTCTTCTTCGCTTCAAGCTGGACATCAATGACTTCGAGCTAATGGCCTTCAGTTTACAAATTGACACAGCCACAAGGGTGACGGTGAACTTGTTCAAGTTCTCCAAGAATTTAATTTGTGTCATCATCCGAAGGCAATCTCGTCGGCTCGGCAGAGGAGACCCCATCATTGACCATTTTTTTCCTTGAAGTCAAAGAAGAGGATACTGCTTCAAAGTGGTTGAACCCACAGTAGAAAACGAGTCGATAGGTTCATGAAAAGCTGATAAGGATGAAGTAATTCTATCGGCTGCAGGTCAAATTGTACCTCCTGTCGTTACGGCTCAGGCTACCAAGGGAGGTCAACACTCTCTTCACCATTACGATTTGACTGTTGAAGTGCCGATGAGAGAAGAAGCGATTGATTCGGCGTCGATGGATATAACGTTCTGTGTAGCAGCACTGCAGAAGCATACAAGGATTCTAGGTGCAACAACCGTTAAGCGCACCGGTGAAAGCATCATTATAAAAATGCCGAGAATAAATAACCATCCGTACTAGTTGAACTTGCTTACGTGATCATCTCGGCGAGCATTTCTCCACCGGACGGCACCGTACTTGGCCACGGAAGAGCTCCGATTCTACGAGGAAGGGAACACGGTCTTCCACGACCGTTGCCGCTCTCCCTCGTAGAATCAAAGCTCCTCCTTGACGTCCGTTACCACTCGGCAGAGAACATGCTCGTCGAGATGAACACGGTCCGCAAGTTCAACTAGCTACTTTAACCTTCTTTCGTGTAAATATGGAAGCTTGAAGTGATTTTGAGCTCAAATTGCTTATAAATGAAAAAAAACAACAATAAAGAACCATATATATATATATATAGTGAACAAAATGAGATAAGACAATGGTGAAAAATGAGAGTATGAGATTGGTAACCTTTACAACTGAAGAATCGACAGAGGAATCGAAGAAATCGACGGAGGAATCGAAAAATGGATGGAGGAACAATGGAGGGAGGGAGGAAGCAAGAACACTAGTGCAGTGAGCTTCAAAATGTGCTGAGCTCGGGCTCGGGGAGGAAGAAGGAGACGGCCGGGATATAAAGGGGGGCCTTTAGTCCCGGTTGGTGGCTCCAACCCGGACTAAAGGTAACTTTCTAACCCCGGGCGCAGCCATGGCCCGGGAGTAGACCTTTACTCCCGGTTGGAGCCACCAACCGGGAGTAAAAGTATACCTTTAGTCCCGGTTGGTGGCTCCAACCGGGACTAAAGGTCCCTGCCACCTCTGCCTGGCGCAGTAGCTGTTGGGTAGGGACCTTTAGTCTCGATTGTAGCCATCAACCGGGACTAAAGGTATCTCTAGTCCCGGGCAAAAAATGCCGGGACTAAAGTCCATTTTGGTCGAGGATCAAAGGTCTGTTCTCTACTAGTGATGGGTCCCAAGCGGAGGCGTTTATTAGCTCAGAGTGGAGGAGCGTACATGCATATATGAGGTACGTGCTCCTCTATGCTTGGCTCGTATATTCTTTATTTCTTTTTCTATCACTTGTGAATATTTCATTATAGGGAAAGTATGCCATCTAAGTAATTGATGGATGGGATATGGTACGATGAAAGGAACCTTGTTTCTTTTGCAAAGTACTTGAGAAATTTTCTTGCAAAATAAATTCAAAATTAATAGCTTGCGTCCTCAATGATATTGAATTTCCTACCAAGACCATATGTTAGTCTCATTAAAAACCTTTCACATAAGTTGCTTGCTCTGTGTTGAGTCTTGTCAAGTCTTGTTGACCCTTGTTGAGAGATTTATCATACTCCTCGGATCAAAATCACGTACACGGCACAAATATGTGTTGCTTCTACACTGGAAGTACGTAAAAACATACTTTTTATCCATCCCAAAATATTTTCCTCCTACACTGGGAGAAGGCAAAAAATATGTTTGTTAGGTTTATCAAAATAAATGCTCTGAGTTCTTCATAATATTTCTCTCAAAAGTTTATTGTAAAAAGAGACATGGGTTATGCAAAAATAAAAAAATGGTCCAAAGTAAAAAAAAGAGATGAGAATAAATATAGCCCATGTTCTCGCAAAAATATTCCACAAGAGAGAAATATGTTTTAGAGAGCATAGTAAAATTATGTTAGCCACCAATTATTCCACACACATATATATCTTGATCTAAGAGTATGACAGTTCTCTTCTTGGATCCGGGATTTGACTTTACAATATATACAAGGTGAGTACGCTACATATTTTATCCCTACCTGAATTCCACATGAGCTTTTTAGAAGTAGAATAAAGAGAAACAAAACAATGTTTTGATAAGAAACTATACACATTGAGCGATTTGAGAGAATCATTTGAGGAGCAAAGCTATGTTTTAATTTGAAAATCTTTCAAAAATCCAAGTTTTCTGAGCAAAAGAAGCGAGGATGACTGGATTCTAATCCGTTCCATTCCTCGACCACCCAAGATGGTGTGATAGACACATAAAAGTTCACATGTGTAGTTGATGCTTGAAATAAGATATTATTGCTGCCAGTAAATTTATCGGCTCCATGGAAATCAGATTAGAAGAAGACCATCAAATTGAAATAGTTCGAAGCATGAAAATTGATACTCCGAAATAGGAGGTCCTGTGTTTACACCAAAATTTAGCCCCACCTGGAAATATCATTGGCAAGGAACAACACGAGATGCATCATGTACGTGTAGGAAAGGTTAGGAAATATTATTTAATATATTTTGGGAGAAACTTGACGTTCCAGACCTCTTCATGTGAAGATAAGGGAAATGCAACGAAAGTCAGAAGATCAAGGAAAATAAATGCGTCATGACGAGAGAGAATTATCAGAGAATATGCTCATGCATAGCTGATTATTATATTCGGCCACGTACGGTTACAAGTTTGGGAGCGTTATGATAACGGAGATATTCATTATCCAACGAGATTAGCATCATGGCTGAAATATTTTATTATTCATGCATGACGTGATCGGGATTCTTGCTGGTTTCATGTGCCTGAAACACGTCAAGAAATCGGTTCTGTACAGGCCAGCCTGGGAAGGAGTCCAACATATTAAAAAGGGAACACATCTCCGAGCTCCAGGCGTATCACGTTACTTGCCTTAATCCTGATGGTGTGCATGCGTGAAGAAAAGGAAAGCTAGCTGGGATAGAGAGTTGACTTGTACGTGCGTGAAGAAGATTAAAGGAAGCCGGACAAATAAATAAATAAACGTTCGTATCAATTGGATGAGATGGCTTGCGTCCGGCGTGAAGACTAGCTGCCACATGAAGCATACTGGACAGCTGGAGTTGCACGTGATCGGGAAAGTATTTTGCTATTTGTTTGGGCCAAGGACGGCTGGCCATATTAGTGCTGCACTTAAATATCATGCATAGCCGAATCAGTTAGGTAATATATTCGGCTTGTACGCAAAGGAACCTTCCGTGCATGTACGTACAAGAGTCCTATTCTGTATTGCCGAAGACCAGACACCCCTATAATATAAAGGGATGCGGTCAATTGTAAAATATACAATCAATCAATATCAATTATTTTTTTAACTTCACGCCAACCCTTAAGAGTAGGAGTACTGTAGATCTCGGCGAGTTCTTCAACAAGCAGTGCTGCATCGATCCGGTCGACCTCGGGCTTGTCTGTAAGTACCGTCATGGCTTATACCTTTGTTTGTAAGGCTGCATCAGTCCGGTCGACCTCTTACGAGCTCTAGTATAAGTTAGTTATCGATCCTTATCTAGTTCAAGTACGGCTGCATCGGTTAAGTTCGACCTCCACTGCTCGAATTAGATTAAGGTCAAGTTATCGGCTCTGCCTAAGGGTGGCATCCTTCGGATAGATTCATTAAGTTAACGATCTTGCAGATGTTCTTGTTGTCATTAGTTTTCAGCAATATCAACTTGCCCGATTGAGATCGATCTAGATCGGCCTCACAATCTTTTAGTCCGTCGTTTTATCTTGTCACACTGCGATGGTTCTTACTTTAAACGACGGATTATGTTTTATCGGTCGTTCTGCTTCTATCTTGATCGTGCATAGTACGCGGTTAAGGCATGTCTAATCTTGAGAAGGTTTACTAGCTAGTTAAATCTGATCTATAGCTCGCTATTATGGCTGTAATGATCCGGTCGATCCCACTGTTAGCACTTTAGATCGGAGTATGCTAGTTGGTAGATTTACTTTCGACCAGGCGTGACCTTGCCTGTTTGCTATGCCTACATCGGCTAAATAGCCGATCGCCCGTACTCTAACGCTTACAGTGTATCTTCATGATTCTGTTAAATGCGAATAGATCTGTTTATTTTAAAGGTTCGATCTGTTGTCTTTATCATGCTGGCATACATTTTCTTACAGGATTGGAATCCTCTAAAAATTCATATGGTTTTACATTTGTTCTGAAGGTAGCCTAAGCATTAGCACAACAATCTGTGTATCACTAATTCAGACAAGCACTTGATCAAGAAGACACAATCTTGAAGCTGAATTGCCATAGCTTCTTGGCCAACTCAGCATCGGAAGCTTGTGAGCTCGGGCTGGCTATATCACAATTGGTGAAGTACTTTCCACTTATCCCCTTCACTTGAGGATGCATTGCAACATAGCAAGTCGTTGCAGCACCCTTAAAAAGAGTTTAAAAAAAGTTGATTAGGATCAGTGCATGTTCCACCAACGTGGCAGCAGTAAAATAAGAGGTGAAAACCTACCTGCTCCACTGTTCTACATATGATTCTTCCAATGGAGTTCAATAGAGCTGCAAGGGCGGGGGGGAACAGTTACCAATGCCATTTTAATTTGAGCTCTATGTAAATGTTTTTCAGAAGCCAGAAACCCTTTCGTATTCATATGATGAACAAAATTGATTGCAAGACTTGAGAAAATACCAGAGACAATAGTCCTGTTCCTAAAAAGGTTAGTCGTGATGACACCAGGATGAACTGCATTGGTTGAAATATTCACTCCTTCCTCCTGTTCAAGAAGATAACTTGTTCCTTTATTGTCCAGTTCATGTATTCATACGTAACAACAGCCATTCAGTAACAAAGATCTGAGATACCTTGAGTATTCGGGACAGTTCATTAGAATGAAGAATATTGGCAAGCTTGGATTGACCGTAAGCAACAAAGTCGTTCAAACTGTGTAAGGTGAAAAACAACAAACATGCTGGTATCATTTATGAGAAGAATAGTATCAATTTTTTCAATAGAGTTCAGATTGATCTCAGAATGGATTACCCAGAAGGATCATGAATTTTGTCAAAACAGATTCCTTCACGATAGGTCATGGAATGTCCGGAAGATGTCAGATTGACAATCCGTCCCTCGAGACAGCTGTCCCTACATGTCTTCTTCATGTTCTCCAATAACAGATTTGTTAGAAGAAAATGGCCTGCCATATATCAAGTTAAACGCTACTGCATTCTCAGGAATCATCCTCATAGGTCATAATTCAGAGGAGGAAGGGATACTCTTCTACAGACTATACAAGTAAACGAGAGATGCCGCACAATGAAAGAAGTTCGAATTCCAACAATGTGCCCAACAAATGTCAAAAGCTGCAGCCTGCAGTGCGATGAGAGGACACACCAATGTGATTTGTCGCGAAATGCAGTTCCAGACCGTCGCAGGAACGTGTGCAGTTCCTTGTCATCACTCCAGCGTTGTTGCTGCCGAAAAGAACATCAAGTCAACCGACCAAACACATTACACATCCTGGTACTACTATGATTTCAGGCTGGCTTTTGACAGTTTGTGATAGCACTGGCATGAAGTACAGAAGTAGAAGGACTTGTTCGTGCTTACATGAGAATGTTGAGGGGCAAGTTCAGAGAGCCGAACTCGGAGGCGAATCTCCTTACGGAAGCTATGGAGCTGAGGTCCAGCTCCAGAACGTCAATCCTCGCGCCGGGGATCTTGGCCACGATTGCTTCCCTGGCCTCGAGCCCGGCGGAGACGTTGCGGACGGCCATGACGACGTGCACGCCGCGCAACGCCAGGACACGCGCCGTCTCCAACCCGATGCCGCTCGACGCACCTGCGCAGGTAGTCTCAGCTCAGCATCGGCATTCCTTGGCCGCAAATGCAATCTCGGAGTCCGACTAGCTAGCCCGAGCCGGCGAACCCCGAGGCTGGCCGGACGGATTAGGTGGCCGCCATTTCTACTCCAGTCAAGCCCATAGTGGCCGTCATTCCCGTTGAATACGCCTTCAAGATCAGAGGTGGGGTGGAAGCTGAATGAACTGGCAGAGAAGCGTGTTTTTAGGTACCTGTGATGATGGCGACCAGACAATGGCCGTCGACGCCGGCGGTGACCTCCTCAGCCGTCGAGGCGCCAGAGAAGCCCGAGGGCCCTTTGCGGTTGAACCACCACATCAGGCAGCAGATCCGGATGGATCTGTGGCGTGGCTACCTGGGATGCCGGACTAATAATGCCAATATGTAAAATAAAATAGAGGCATAAACAAAGAGCAATATCTTATAAAGCTAATCTCCGCTACATATTTTATCACAACATGTAAGACATGTACGTTGTCGTCCATTAATAATTATGTCATACCACTAACTTTCAACCTCTTAATACAAACTTTTCATGTCATCTCAAGTTCTATCTTAACATGCAAACATTCATATCATGTTCCACTAACTATCCACGTCATCTTTCGCTAATAGACATGCCATGTCACTAACTTTTAACTTCTTAATACAAGTTATCCATATCATCTCTACTTAATTTCATTTTTAATTTTTTATAATCTCCGCATCAACTAGCGGAGTATCTTCTAGTTATAATATATTTTTAATTAATAAGAACAGGTATTATAACTTGTATGAGTCGACAAGATGAGCTCCACGTAAAAAAAAATGCCACATTAGGAGAGAGATTGTTGAACGGACGCTTACCTTCTCGCCGGCTGAAAGCAAAATACGCTTATTAAAAATCCAAAATACAAGACAAAAAAGCTGCTATGCAGCCAGATGCTAGCTGGGAGTCACTGTTCCGTTCTTATGTGCTGTGCCCCAACCGCAAAATACTAATTATATTGCTCGTATAATTTGTATTTGATACAACTAATCTTCCAGCCATAAATAAAAAAAACACCTAATCTTCCGAGCTTTTTATGTGTACTGCCCTGGAAAAAATAGTTCTTCCTAAAATGAACTTTCATTATTTATATGGCCTTCCGTCCGTTTTTGCCACTCGACGATGTTAAATCAAGAGTAAAAAGACCGTTTTACCCTGGCGTAAAAAAAATAAATTACAAAGTTTTGATTGTTTGTTGTATATTCGGAGTAATATTAAGCAAATAAATTCACACATAACAGTAGGGCATATTTGGAGCATGTAATACACATAACAATACATATTTGAACTAATATTAAGCAAATATGGCATATAACAGTACATGATGCGATCTAAAATTTTTCACACATGCATTGCAATTAACCAAGTCTCACATAAATAAGGTCTCACATAAATCCACCATAGTTTCAGTCACACATAAATAAAGGTCTCACATAAATAAGGTCACACAAGAGTACGAATTCAAACTTACATTGGTCTCACATAGAGCTAGCAAATTTAATAGGCATATCACAAATCAAAAAGTGATCCTTCTTTTGCTTCGCGTGCTCATAGCAGGGCTGCTAGAAAGTACTACCTTGCTTCTTGTACCCATGGATGGGCTATCAAGTGGCACCTTCGAAATATCTACAGTTTTTTTCTTTGAAAGACCTTGCTTCTTCATGATGGGTGTCCACTTCCTTTTAACTTGAGCAGGTCGATCTTTGCATGAAGCATTAGAAAGTGTTTCGGACTGATGTGACCCACTTCTTGACCTACAAATGTTATACATTGACAATGGTTTAGATAAGAGGAAAAAAATTGGATTCATGTAATTGCAATTCAGAATTAGAAAACGTACAATTTTGAACGTCCAGAATTGGAGTTAGTGCGGTTTCCCTTTTTCTTACTTGAAACCTCCAAGCTGTGGCTGTCATGGTAGTCAAATAATGAAGTTTTTAAAGCAAGATGTGATGATATAGAGAGATTTCAGCAATATATAAATTATCTTTTAGAGGCTTCATGTGTACAATCATCACTTTTCCTCTTTTTAGAAGATGTTGTTTCCAAGTTTTGACTACGGTGACAAATTAGTTGGTACTTAGAATCCATCAGAAGTGCGAAATAACCATATGAGCAAGGAAGAAATACCAAACCTTGGAGGAAAAGACATGGATGCCGCTGGTGCTTCTTCCTCTAAAGGCACAATGGAACTTTGGGCTGATTTGGTGTTCCTTGCCCTCTTCTTTGGTTCTCCCCTAAAATAAGAATAGAATCAATATAATGTACTTTACAAAGGAAAAACATAAATGGTAGAGAAGTGTAGACAAGTTATTACCTGATTGCTTTCATAGCTTCAATGTCTTCTGGTTTGCCTCTCTTGCAATTATGCCAATGATGTCCATAGTCCATACAAATAGGGCACCGATGCTGTCCTTTTCTCTCTTTTTTGTCACCGGTACCTTTGTGCCTTTCAGTTTTAGGCCTACCAGCAACTGGTGTCAACAAAGGTGGATGCATGAAAAATTCATGGTTAGATTTAGGCCACTAAGACTAGTCTGGCATAGCAGGAATCAGCTGACTGTATGCGACTCTAAATTTCTCCACTGAGTAGTATAAGTCAACATAGTTCTCTATTGGTGCATCGCTAAGGGATGTGATGAATGCTAGTGCATGCTTGCAAGGAATCCTAGAAACCTGCCATTGTCTGCAAGAACAAGTCCTCTCTTGTAGGTTAACAATAAACCGAAATCCACTTTCTCCCATTACAGTAACTTCAGCTACCTCTTCTAAGCATTCTTCAACTTCCAAGTTTACTTCTTTACTCTGCCCATTCAATTCCTTGATGATGTGGAGTAGAATCAAGCCCTGAAGTTTCTCGCTATTTTCCTTCTTTTGTTCCACTTGGACATGAGCATTTGCCTGAGCTTGTCCATGAAATTATCCAAGTTCATGGACTTGTGAGGCTTAATCCAGTTGTTGAAGCTTTCTGCAAGGTTATTAGTCACATAGTCGCAAATGGTTTTGAATTGGCTCCTTGCCCACAACTTTTTGTGGGTTTTCCTTAGCCAATTTGTTGCAGCTGGCTTTGCATTCTCCATAGCAAGCCAATGTTTTTCAAACAAATATAGGTTCCATGAGTAAGCTGCTGCCCATAGGTGGTCATCAAACACCTTACCATGATACCTTTTCTTGAAGTTGGTCACTAAATGAAACATGCATTCTCTATGTTTAGCCCCTAGAAATACTTCATCCACCCCTGCCATCACAGTCTATCCTGCATCAGTACATATGGTTAAGCCCCTTGGTGATCCTATAGCCTCTCTAAGGTGACTCATGAACCAAATTCAGTTCTTAGTAGTTTCTAAATAAAAAACTCCAAAGCAAACAGGATACAACCACTTATGCCCATCAAAAGCACATGCACTGGCCAATTGCCCCTTGTACTTGCCTGTCAAGAATGTGCTGTCTAATGCAAGGTACGGCCTACGACCAGCAAGGAACCATCTATGCATGGTTTTAATGCAAAAAAGAATCTTATAAATCTAATCCTGTCATCTACTATGTGATGGCCAATAACGACTAAGCTATCAGGACAACAACTCTCAACTTGTGCTTTAAACTTGAACATGTTATCAAAGCCGGAATCCCAGTCACCATAAAGATGTTTCAATGCTAGCTCCTTACCATCATACACTCTCTTGTAGTTGATATTTACCTTATGGTGTTCTTTCAATTTGTTCACCAATGCTGCTGCACCCAAAGTTGCATCCACTATGAGGAAGTCCTTCACCTTTTCACATATCCAAAACTTGGTTGCATTCTTCACCCTCTTTTTCCTCCTTGTACTAGAGCAAGCATGAGCACAAGGGGTCCTTTTCACCTATAAGATGAGAAACAATTAGTTAGAAAGAGAAATAATAAACCTCTAAATAATATGCAATCTCAATTAACGTAAGGACAAAGACAAAGCCTTACCATAACAATGCAATTGTCCTTAGTGGTAGAAGCAAATATCCACCATGGACAGGTTTCTCTGTCTCTCCTTGAACAATATGCCCTGAACCTATTTGGTGCACTCTTTGCAGTATTGAACTCAAACTGATTTTTGATTGCATGCTGAGAAATTGCCAATTTGAATGTATACATATTAGCATAAGTGGAGCCTACTACTATTGGTGGATCTTCTGGATCATGTTCTACATTTGGAGCATAGTTTTGCTCATTGGATGGTATATCTTCCTCATATTGTGACTCATCTCCACCTTCACTATCATCCTCAATATCATCAACAACATAGGATGTGTCTTTTTGAATAGGGCTATGAACCACCTATAGAGCATTGGGTGCAACAATATCACAGTACATAGTTTTCTCATCAACACCTACATGTTCATTCTGTGGTTTAGGATTCCTAAGGTAATCATCCTCATCTGCATCATTATTGTCTATGTTGTCATTGTCTATGTTGTCCTTAGGTTGGGTATCCTCACCAAAATCACACTCTGTGACAGGCTCATATGGATCAGAATGACCCCGATATACAACAAACATGGTGACAACCTTTCTCTTCAAATGTTTATCAAACATAGACATCAACTCTTGGTCAGTTTTTACTTCTGTGAAAGATTTTATATCTTCATCATAATGCTGAATATGAGCTACTTCCAAATAACCAGGTGGGTACTTCTCTACCACTGATTCAACAAGGTCCTCATAATTTATTTTGTCTAAGTCAACAACCATATCAAAGCAAAAAGATTTCATATCTTGTCTACACTTTTTATGGTTGCCCAACAATTTAACTTTCAGCTTAAAACTGGAATTTGGATCCATGTTGTTATTCAAAATCAAAATATGTTTTAGGGTTTCGGTACATCTGTAACTACTTCTAGGAGCAGAAAAATTGTGGACTCACTCTTGTAGCCAATCTTCTTGATCGGAGTCGACGCCATCCCCCGTTTCTACGCGCT